CCCACTTATTCAAGGCACTTCTGGATCCCCAAAGCGACCCTGGCAAACGCCCTGTCTGAGAGCCCGAACATCTGCCCTAAACCCTAAACGCTAAACCCTAAACCCTAAACCCTAAGCCCTATAAACCCAAAGCCCCACGCCAAAGGAGGAACCCTGGACTGCCTTTACGTGTTTAGGGTTTTAGGGTTTAGGGGTTTAATCGGTTTAGATTTAGGGTTTAGGGGTTTAGGGTGTGCATAGGGTTTAGGGGTCCAGGGTTTAGTAGGGTTTAGAGTACGTACTCAACCGCTTGAAGAGCACCACCATAGATTTATCTACGGGCTGTACCCAAAGAGCCCAGCTTGCCCATCAATAATTGAAGCCCTAAACCCTACACCTTAAGCTCTACTTGGGGCCGTGTAGGGTGGAACAAAAGGGCGGCAGGGGAAGCGGCGGATCGGGTTGAGGGTTTGTGGCAAATTGGGAAAACCTCGGTTTAGGCTCTGCTGGTTGATAGCTAGTACTAGTGCCCCCTCCTAGTCCCAGATTATTTCATAGCCCCAAGGCCCAGTCTGATGATTGAAGCCAACTGAGTTCATGCAAGGATTACGTTCCTGTCTCCAAGCTTAGGGCATACCTTCCATCTTCGTTCGAATTTGCATCGAGGCCTTGCAAACACTAGGTACCGGAATTTCCAACTTCCATAGGCTCTGCAAGCAGAGAGTTTCGCGCCCGAGGCCCTAGACTTTAAGCCCTCTAAACCCGAAACCACCAGCAAAAGCCCTAACATGTACATATCCTAAGCCCAAAAATCCTAGACCTTCAACCCTCCCTTGTGACAGGTGTATGCGCACTTCCCCATCAACGCCAACATCATCAACGGCGGCAAGGCCACAGCCAGCAAGCTTTGCATACCCTATCCCCGTTCGGGTTTAGGGCTTAAGTAAGGGGTTGAGGGTTCAGCATTTAAGGTTTGGAAATCCATGAAGTTGCAAAGCCCTAGTGAAGCCTTCAACCCGAAGAGCTACACCCCGAACATTTTTTGAACCCTGGCCATAAGTGCAGCCGCCGTTTTCCGGCCGAGTCTGGCTCTGAGTTTTGTTGTTCGGATGTCGAGGGGAGCTAAGGTCGAGGGCTCAGGGTTTAGGGTTGTTGCCTTCCTCAGTGCTGGGTACCATAGACTCGCGATAGACGACGGGGAGGGACCCAGAGAGGGAGAGAGATCGAGAGAAAGAGAGAGAAAGAGAGAGAGAGAGAGAGAGAGTAAATGGGACGGACGAAAAGCAAGCATAGACAGAGGGATGCAGACAACTAGACAGACGCACAGACGGGCAGATAGATCGCGGTCGACAGTGATATAAGACCTGACTTAAGATCTTTGCTGTCCGATCTTGGGAAATCTGAGCTTCGCGAAGCTGTGTGCTTCTGCCTGAGCCTACCAAAATTTGCTCTTTTGCAGGGTCGCTACGAACTTTGCATATATAGGGGCTAATTATTATAACCTGCATACAACTTCCTCGACTCGACCCTCAACCCTAAACCTAAACCGACCTAAACCCTAAACCCTAAACCCTGAAACCCAAAAACCTAAAACCCTAAACCCCAAAACCCTAAACCCTAAACCCTCATGAAAGCAGGGTGGAGCTTCAGATTTGTATCGTTGGCTCCCAAAGGGAACGGAGAATTAGGGTTCAGGGTGGTTTAGAGTTTCGGGTGGTTTAGCGTGTGGGGTTCAGGGTTTAGGGTTTAGGGTGTGGGGTTTCAGTTTAGGGTGTAGGGTTGTTTAGGGTTTCGGGTAAGGGCCCCTACCATGGACCACAGCTTAAGCAACTACGTACCTGCATGAGCTACAGTCATGGTTAAGTATCGCAGTACAGCGGGGGCTTACTCATGAGGGACAGAGTGACATAGGGTTCCACAGAAAGGGGCGCTCAGGATCATGTCAAAACCCTCCGTCCTAAGTCTCGGGTCTTTTCGAGTTTAGTTTAATTAGTTGTGATACTGACAGTCTTTGGCAGTAGCTCTCGCAATCTGCGTCTTATCCCTGTTATAGAACCCCCGGTACACCTCTAAAGAACCCCTTCTAGGAAACCAGTAGCAACTATGCTGAAACCCGATAGAAGCCTTAAAAGAGACCCCTGATGAACCCTAAGCAAGTTTCGCTTGGCCAGACCATCGAGATTCGGAACTTCTTGGGTGAGAAGGTGGTCCGCACCGTGACTTGGAGCGCCCACCGGAGTTTCCATTTTCCATAGGGTTCTACAAGGTTTAGGGTTTAGGGTTTATGGCATTGGAGTCTCTAGATTTCTATAGGGTTCCATAAGGGTTTCTACAGGGTCGTGCAAAGGTCTCTGTTGCCAGGGCTTCTAGAAGGGCTCCATAAGAGTTCTATGGCCTCTGCGCTTCAGGGGCCTGAGGATTGAGGGTTTAAAGGCTTTACAGGGATGCCGTTAAGGGCTTAGGGATTCGGCTTGGGGTTGAGTTTTAGGGTTTAAGCGTTAAGGGTTTAGGGTTTATGTTGAGGAGGTTGGGATGGGCTTTAGGGCTTATAAGGCTTCGCCCCCCAGCATCTCAGGTGCACATGCTGCCCGGCGTGACCGTGGAGAAGAGCGCGAGCACCAAGGATAGCTCCAAACTTTGGATCACGTCCTATACTCCTACCCATGGGCTCCATAATAGTTCCTTTCTGGGATATCCTTGTAGAATCCTAAATATTAACCCCAAAAAGGAACTACTATGGGGCCTATGGGTATACCTCGAAACTCACACAGCACGAAACTCCGAAGCCTGAAACTCTTGCACTCTATAAAGTCCCATGCATCTTAAACTCAGCACCCTTCACTCACCGCCTGATAAGACTTAACCAGAATCATGAAGGTCAACCAGAGCCGAACACCACCTCGCGGGGGGGGGGGGTGCCTGTTTAACTTATTTTAGGGTTTAAAACCTAATCCCTAAACAAATCCTCACCTCCGGGCCCAGGAGATTTTGAGGTCGCTCTTTTGGGGTTGCGTTGTTGGCCGGAACACACTACTTATGTTAGGGTCCATTCCATGTAACGAATCTCGCAGATGTTTTCAGGCAGACCATTTGTGATGTTTTGTGAAAAACTTCATCGGGTTTAGGAGGATCTCGTAAAGAGTATTCGTTCTTCAAAGGGCTTCAAGGAACAACCCAGGAAGCCCAGCAGAGTTCGCTCAGGTCCCATACTTTTCAGGGACCCCACTCACTGACTGCTAGGACTTTGATTGGGTCCTCCGTATGTGCAAGAAAGGGTCTAGTCTCAACATCTGGGAGAGGCAAGAAAGGGTCTAGTCTCAACATCTGGGGGAGAGCCAGGTGCAAAACTACCGTGGGATGTCTCACTTAGATGTTAGGGCTTCTATGGCTACGCCGTTTTTGGTGCTCTTCCCTCCGTCCGCAGCACCTAAAGCTTGGCTCAGATACTGAAACCCTAACAGTAATTTCATACTCCGGATATTGAATTTTCCATACCACCATGCAGTCTCCAGCTGCATTCCTGGCCTTCCTGGCTGCGCTGCTTGCAACCACTACAGCTACATCAGATTTGGAGTCGCTCTTTATGGTACCCCTGCAGAAGCAGTATGTGCCCATACGGCGTGACGGCAGCGTCGTGTCCTACAAGACGGCGTACTCTGGTCAGATCTACGTCGGATTTCGAGAGACGCAGAACTTCTCGGTGGTCTTTGACACAGGTCCCTGGCAGTTCAGTATTGGAAGCCGTTGACTTCTTGTTCGTAGATTGGCTGTTGCTCAAAACCCCTGGTTGTACCCAGAGAGCCCGATAACCCTTAATTAAGGAATATACCTTAAACCATATTGTTAAGGCCCCTATAGTTTAAGGTATATTCCTTAATTACGGGGTATTGGGCTCCCTGGGTATTTACAGCTAGATACAAGCTTACAGAGTAGCCCTCAGCCACCAGCAGATCCAAACTACTATAGGAGCCTTAATAATTAGAATAGGGCTTGGGGGTATGTTGTACTATAATCATAATAAGGAACCCCCCCCAAACCCTATTCTAATTATTAAGGCCCCTACATTACCCGACTTTTGACAGCCGCAGTAGAAAAAACATCCCTTGCAGAGCCTCTTGTTTAAGGCTCGGGGCACTAAACCGCTGCAAATAACCCCTTAAGGGTTCCTTTCGGGCTTCCTTTAAAAAGAGCCTTTTTCAATTAAGGCTCTGGGCACTTCTTCCTCCCATCGGTGGAATGCAGCTCTGAGTCGTGCCGCTCACATCGGAAGTACGACGTCAAGCGGTCTCTGGGCTCTTGTTAGGTTTGGGTTTTAGGGGTCTTCTTGGGTTTGGGGTTTGAGGTTGAGGTGCGTCAGTGTCAGTTTACGGCTTTAGGGCTTCGGGGTGAGGTTTACGAAAGTTGAGGGTTTGGGGCACTCGGGGTTGAACTGCAGGCTGGAGGATTTGATTACGAAACCAGGGCTGAAGGGTTTCAGGGCTTAGTATCTCAATGCCATGTTACCATGATGCATGACAAGGATGTCGTTTTATGTTAACTAGCCTGAATAAACTCCTAAACCCCCAACCATAAGCTCTAGGCCTTTAAACCCTAAACCATAAACTTTGCGCCTTTAAGCCCTGAGCCATAAACTTTACAACCTTGAGACCTGAACATCAAGGTCCTCGACTGCGAAGTTCGTTGACCACGACGGCGCCCCAGCGGAGAGCAGTGACGATGAGGTGGCTTCGAGCTCACCCAGAGACTCCCAAACCCCTTTATTCAGGAATATAAGTTTTAAATCATAAGAAGGAACCCTAAACCCCCTTATAGTTTAAGGTATAGGCCTCAATTCAGGAATATGTCTTAAAATCCTAAACCCCCTTATAGTTTAAGGTACAGGCCTCAATTAAGGAAATGTCTTGAAACCCTAAACCCCCTTCTAGTTTAAGGTTTAGGCCTCAATTCAGGAATATGTCTGAAAACCCTAAACCCCCTTATGTTTTAAGGTTTAGGCCTTCAAAAAACAGGGAATTTGGGGAGTCTCTAGGCAAGTTCAGGGTCCCAGAATCGAGCTCAGGCTTCTTCGGCTCTGGGTTTAGGGCTTAGGGTTGGGGGTTTAGGGGTTTTGGGGCTTTGGGTTTAGGGTTTAGGGGGTTAGGGGGTTAGGGTTGGGGGTTTAGGGTTGAGGGTTTAGGGGGTTAGGGGGTTAGGGTTAAGGGGGTTAGGGTTAAGGGTTTAGGGTTGAGGGTTGAGGATGAAGGATACCAGTTCCAATCCAATAGGGTTGGATTCGAAGTGAGCAATGAACGTTGTTGAGCGAATCGGGTTGCCACGCAGCAGAATGCCACGAATCACGAAGTTATTCAAGCCTTTGTCTATGACCTTCCTTTGTCTGCATGCATCGACTGCGCGACTTTTCAGCAAGCAGCAGTGTTGGTGTCGTAGGGCTGTCTTCTATTCTTAAGCCCTCTCTGTCTCTCTCTCGCTCGCTGGCTTTGCACATTTATGTTCATACTGTGTGTATGTATATATATATACATATATATATATATACACACAGAAAAGTATATGTGCATATGTATATGTATATACACTTATACTCACACAATATATTTATGTATAAATAAGCGCAGACATAAATAAAGAGACCAAGAATACAGTTAAATTTATTGAGAAACAAATGTGTACACACACATATACATTTGCAAATAGATAGGTAAATTCAGAGAGAGTATAATGATAGGTATGTCTTTAAAAGTGTGTGCGGGTGCAACATGAGTGCATATATATATGCAATAACTATACATATGCTTAGCCGTATCTGCGTGAATATGCACAAAGCAGCGAGCCAGGGCAAAGATCAAAGATAATGTGAACCAAAAGCCCTAAACTCCTAAATTGGCACTAAGCCCCAAAACCTAAGCCCCCAGAACCCATAATCCCTGCTGGAAACCCTGAAAACCTCAAGTCTTAAGCCGTTAAGTTAAACGCCAAGCCCTAAAACCCAAGCGAAGCCGAACGCTTGAGGGTTTAGGGTTCAGGCCTCAGCCGCGAAAAGCCCTAAAGAACAAATGGGTAGTTCTGCAAAATAGGGTCCCTTTCTTGAGCCCCAATATAGTACGGCACCCTTATAAAAAAGAGCTCTAACAGTGACCCAAGTTTAGAGAACTATTCCAAGAACGCCTAACCTTCTGTGTGTCAAAGGTGGCCATTAGCTTCGGCCCTATAACCCTAAACCCTAAGCCCTAACCTTCTTCTGTGTGTGAAAGGTGGCCATTAGCTTCGGCACCGGAAGCATCCGGGGAAACTTCGTCGAGGAACTGGTTTGCTTCTCCGAGCCCAAAGGCGCCGTTGACGGACTCTGGGATCCTGCCAATGCCTTTATGGGTTTAGGGTTTAGGGTTTTGGGGTTTAGGGTTTAGGGTTTAGGGTTCATGGGTAGTTTTAAGTGGGGTTATAAGTCCCCTAATGTGGGTTATAGCTATGGTTACCCTATTTATAACTCCACTTATAACTACCCATGAACCTCCAAGTGCCTTTATGGGCATGTGGGTGGGTTATGTCAGTGCAGAAGGGGCTTTACAAGTTTATACAGTGCGTTTGTAGGGCTCCAAATTTCTGAAACCCTGAACCCTGAAATTTCGACGTCGGCAGCGAAGCTAGAAATCTCATAGCTTCTACGTCGTACCCGACACGAAGCTTACGAATTTCGATAGGCGACAACTCCAACCGGTTGAAATTGGATGCCACGATACTGAGCCCCCGAAGCTTCCAGCCGAGCATCTCTCAGCCTAGCTGATGCTTTTCGGATGTCGGCAGTCACTTGCGTGGAGCCCTTGCAATAAGGCTGCATCCGATCTCGAGATTCTTACAGGGGGTCGAGCGGAATTGTCCGTGTCAACGGCTTGTGCAGATGTGACATAGGTGCATGAAAGTGAAAGGGCACCCGAATAGACTGCAATCTCTCAGGATCTGCGAAGCCTTGTTTAAGCGAGTCTCATAAGATCCCCGTACTGTATACCATTGTATACCATAAATGCCATTTACTGCTAAACCCTAAGCCCTGAACCCTTAGCCCTAAGCCCTGAACCCTAAACCCTAAACCTTAAACCCTATACCCTAAACCCTAAGCCATAAGCCCTAATCCATAAGCCCTGCAGGCACCGAGGCCAAGCCGGACAATGGCTGTGCTCGGATTAACCTGGTTACGGTTTCCTGGCAAGAAGAAGGAGACTACTTACTTGGAGGTTCATGGGTAGTTATAAGTGGGGTTCATAGGGTTCCTTTAAGGGTTCTATAGGGTTTAGGGTTTAGGGTTTAGGGGTTCGTGGGTAGTTATAAGTGGGGTTATAAGTCCCCTAAGATGGGTTGTAATTATAGTTACCCTCCTTATAACTCCACTTAGAACTACCCATGAACCTCCAAGTAGACCATACCCTGAACCCTAAACCCTAAACCCTAAGCCCTTACACCCTAAGCCCTTTTGTACCCTAAACCCTAAACCCTTATACCCTAGACCCTAAGCCCCATTGTACCCTGAACCCTCCATCCTTAGAGAGTTTCGCTTCTGGATGACTTTAAGGGTTTGAGGGCTTGGTTTGCAGGCACAACGTTGAGTTACGTTGAGTTATGGAACCTCACCGCCCTGGGCGGCATACCGGATGTGGTCTGTCATTGATGAATGCAAGGACCGAAACCCAGAGTCCAGGTAATCAGACCCTGATTTCTTAACCCCAATCCCTGAACCCTGAACCACTAGCAGACAGCGCCGAACCCCAAATATAGACCGACCAGATACTTTAATATAGATGTCAAAATAATGATATTAGTGAAAATTACCCTTTCGGTCCCTAATGTAAGATGCCAATATGCCCCAACACCGTGTCCCAATTTTCAGACCCCTCAACCGTAAACCCTACAAACCCTTGAAATTGTCAAGAAACCCTTAAGGGAGCCTTATTCTATTTTGCCCACTTGTTGAGTACCCTGCAGTAGTCAGTTAAAATCTCGGTATTCATATGCTATATCATATTTTACACATCACAGCTTATGTAATCTAGTTAGTTAGTTTGGTTCAGTAAATATAGTACATTTTTAGTCAAGCAAAGTATGATGTGGTAAACATGAAAAGGATTTAACACAATTTAAACCCTAAGCCCTAAACCCTAAACCCTGTAAGGCCACAGAGATGACAGATGAGCCGTTCTCGAGTTTCAGCTTCGATGGCGTGGTGGGACTCTCGGCTCAATGAAAGGACGCGCCAAACTGGGGATTTGGGGCTCAGGGCTTAGGGTTTAGGGGCTTTACCCCCAAAGAGGCCAGTACCCCTTAAGTAGGGGATGTATCTTAAATCTCAATAGTATGATAGTTTGCGGTATACCTTAAGTAGGGGATATATCTTAGATATTCTTAAATCATAGGGGCCTATATATTATGACTTAAGGTATATTCCTTAATTTAAGGGGTATTGGGCTCTCTGGGTAGGGGTTTAGGGTTTAAGGGTTCAGGGTCTCGGGTTGAGAGTTTAGGGGTTGAGGGTTTTATGGGTTCAGGGTTTGGGGATTCAGGGTTTAGGAGTTTAGAGTTTGGTGTTTTACGGTGTAGACTCTCAGAAGGGTGCTTCTGAAGGATTTAACTCTCAAGGTTGCATTGGGTTGTCATACGTTAGTTAAGGGGTATTGGACCCCTTAAGTAAGGAATAGAGTTAAAACATAATATCAAGGGGACTGTAATTTAAGATCTATGTATTTATATATATATATATTGCTTAATAAAGGGGTATTGGTCTCTCTGGGAGCAGAAGTCTTTCCCCTGAACGAGGATTTCAAGGGGGATCCTCACAGCGATAGCCGTAGCAACCCAACCTTTCGTGAGTGATTGCTTGCTTGCTTGCTTGCTTGCTTGCCTGCCTGCCTGCTTGCTTGCTTGCCTGCCTGGTTGGTTGGTTGGTTGGTTGGTCGATCGCTTGCTTGGTTGGTTGGTTGGTTCGATTTGACAATTCAGTTGTTGTTTGATCGTTTGGTTACACCAACGTATACACCTCTGTATATATATATATATATACACACACATATACATACACATAGATGCTCCACTTAGGTTCTATTTCAGAAATGTGTTAGGTGTCGCATCATTTTGGAAAGTGGCCTCCATACCCGGAGAGCCCAATACCCCTTAAGCAAGGAATAGACCTTAAATCATAATAAGATGAAGGATAACTTTTAGATATATCCCTTAATCAAGGGGTCTTGGGCTCTTTGGGCAGATGCGCGGTAGTTCTCCCCTCAAGGCCTTCCAAGAAGGTCAGGTTCAGGCTTTGGAATTTAGGGCTTCCGGACTGCTCCCTAAACCCTGAACCCTTAAACCCTAAACCCTAAGCCCCTAAACCCTGAATCTTAAAACCTAAACCCTAAACCCCTAACCCTAAACCCTAAATCCTAGCGGGGGGTTTGGATTGGGACATGAAGTCTTGGGGCTTTCATCGAGTATCCGAAATATCTTCCCTGGGTGATATCCAACCCGTAAGTAGCATCTTCCGCCCACGACACGCTAAATCCACAAGAAGTTGTTCTAAAATGTCTGCTCCAATCCTAAACAAAGCTGACAGGGTTAAGGGGTTAGGGTAGTAAACCCTAAACCCTAAACTAAGCTGCTTTTTGCCGGAAGTCACCCAGGGCTCGGTCTTGGAGCGCTGGCTGTGGAACCGAACTTCAGCATCTTTCAACAGCTGACAAAGACGCCCCGGCTTAAATATGGGCTTGGAGACTCTCAAACTCCTTGTTTGATAAGGAATATTGCTTAAACTTTATACTGAAATTCTATACGACCTAATAGGACCCAGAGGATAATCCTTATTGAAGGGGTTTGGAGCCTCTGTAGTTAAGGGCCTGAGACTCTGGAACTTACTCTGTGTATGTTGTTTAATGGCTTGGGGAGGGTTCTGGGGTTTCATGGACGTTGTAGGGTTTATAGATGCTTCTAGGGTTCTGGGTTTAGGGTTAAGGAGGCTCTGTTTTCCAACATGGAACCCACAACTCCAAAACCCTATTCTAATCATTACGGCGTAGTGAACCCCCGTTGTGTATTTCCCGATCATGGCCCTAAACCTTAAGCCCTGAACCCGATTGTCGCGCCCATATTACAGCCTACAGTCCTTTAGCCGCGGGACCCTCCAGCATTCCAGTAGGGTTTATCGCCCAGGGGCTTTGATTTATAGGGCTTTAGGGTTTAGGCCTTTAATAGGGCTTGAGGATTTCACGGTCTAGCGATTAGCATTGACAAAGCCCAGGGGCCCATAAAAGTAATTTCCAAGCCTGCCGGGCGAGTATTTAGGGTTTAGGGTTTAGAGGTTTGGGGGTTTAGGGTTTAGGGGTTCAGGGTTTAGAGTTTAGGGCTTCAGGGTTTAGGGTTTAGTGGTTTAGGGTTTAAGCGTGTTCCAGCTCCCTAAATTCACACGCACAAGCCCGAAAACCTTGGACCCATGGCTTTAAACCAAAGCCTCCGCACCAAACTCCGCTACGTCCAAAGCTCAGCGCTGAGGGCAGAGCAGTCGAACAGAGCGTGTGTGAAAAATGATTCCTCGCAAGAGCCACAAGGGGTTCCGGTTAAGGTTTAGGGTTCAGGGTGTTGTTGGGCTTCAGTGCTACAGTTCAGGACTTTGTAAATTAAATGTTCGGAGTGGTCGTGGTTGCATGTCAGGATCACCCACTCCAGCTTCATGCCGCAGTTTGCCTATTTCCTGTCTGAGCACGATGACCTCCCAAGTGAGATCAGCTTCTCGCAAATGTTACACCGAATAAGCTCTAAATCCTGAACCCAGAGAGCCCACTTCCCCTTAAATCAGGAATATACCTTAAGGACCCTATAATTTCAGGTATATTCCTTAATTAAGGGGTATTGGGCTCCCTGGGAGCCGAAAGCCTAGGCTTCAAACCCTCAGCCCTACGCCCTAAACTCATCGCTTCTCTCCAAAAACAAAAAGCTCAAGGCCCTTTCGCTGGACAGCCCTAAAGCGTTAAACCCTTAAGCCCTAAACCATAAACCTCTCAACCCGAAACCTAAACCCTTGAACCCTAAACCCCAAACCTCAAACCCTAAGCGCCTAAACCCTAAACCTCAAAACCCGAAGCCTAAACCCCTGAACCCCAAACCCTCCTAAATCCTATCAGCCAACCCAGGCTTCGGCCATCACCTGAACCCTGGGGCGCCCGAAACCCTAAGACCCTAGAACCCTGGGGCACCGTCAGCCCTCAACCCTAAAACCCTGGGGCGCCCTAAGCCCTAAAACCCTAGAGCCCTGGGGCACCCTAAACCCTAACACCCTAAAATCCTACAAGCCCGAAAAC